GTTCAGCATGAAGCAGGCTGCATTATCAGCGGCCTGGCAGCACCCATGTCACTTTGGAAAACTGTCAGCTTGAGGTCTGTGTCTCCTTAGTCAGAAGTATCTCAGGCATTTCTTTTCTCTGCTATAACTTGATTTTAGATTAATTTACACACGGTTTAAATCACTGATGTTTTGGCTATATGCAGGTTACCTTCCTCCCGCTCCATTATGTTGAATGAGCCAGAGTTGACTGTAATCCTCTACTGTTAACAATTCTGAATAAATCGGTATAGCAGCCTGGGGAGATTACATATTGCTGTTTGGTTGGTCCCATATTTATTGTATTGATTGTTGATTTTCTTCTGGCTGTGTTCGCTGAGCTCTTGTTTCGCACTTTGTGCACTGATGGGGAAATGGAGAGGCCTGTCTGGATGGAATGGCTGATGTCCAGGCCTTCTGACCAGGTTTGTGTAAACAGGATTATAGGCACGCTAAAGAAAATGCCAGAATCTGGGAAGCTGATTTTTGCTTAGTAATACTAGTATCTAAGCATGAGGGGGCTTGAAGTTTTTGGTAGGTCAGATGAAAAGGGCTCTAGAAGTTGATTTTTAAAAACGCCTTTCCTGCAGCCCAGAATGGCTGGGGAGGAATCACGCCATATGGAAATACCGTCCGAGGATCGAGATTTGAGAGGGCTCTGGTCAAATCTGATCTGCCATCCATTTCTTTTCCCTCACTGCCCCCACCCTGGAAGGAGAGCAGACTGAAGCCAGGATCACCACAGCAGTGTTTTTAGATAGGTACATCTCTTGTGCTGTGTAAAGTGCAGCAGAAATGGTTTGCAGAGTACTGTATGCTTCAACTACCATGAATAAGTAAAAATGGGGAGCCCATAGCTGGGAACACTTGAGAATGATGGGTTTAATAAGGGGAGGTTTGGAGGACATGGATCATACAGCCTTTGAGATCCCACTTTTAAAATGGAGTGACAAAGAGTTGGTATATGTGGAGACTGAACAGCCAGTGCTTTAATCGAGTTAGACCACAGAAGGACCAAAGAGGACAAACCGAAGAGAATAGCTTCATAGGGGTCCCAAATGGGAACTAGGGAAGGGCTGATGCACACGCATCTGCATTGCTGGGGGAGAGGAGAGGTGCATGTTTGAATGCCTTTGGCCGTTAATTTTGCTGGCAGGAAACTTTGGTTCGTGATTTCTCTTATAAGGCCAGTGGCATATTGTATTAGAAAGAAATATATTATATATTTATTCTGGTTTTGTACTTAAATTGTAATTGTTGTGGTTTAACCACATGGTTTAGCTGAAGCCAGGACAGTAATTAAAACTATTAATCTGTTCATTGCTAATTATGGTTGAGATAGAGTTATGGCCATTTCAGAAATAAATAATGTAATTTCTCAGAATGTTTAGGGTAGGTATTAGTTAATACTTAGATGAAGTATTTCTACTGTATGACTGGTACTGCAGTGTGTAACAGCATTTATCTGTTGAAAAGTGTTATTGCCTTGAGCCAAATATTTCCGTATATTGAAGAGAACATTCTGAAGCTGAAGTCAAGAAGAGTTCTGCTGCTGACCTCAGAGGAGCCAGAATGGGACTGGTGAAAACAGAATATGGTTGAATTTTTATTGTCTGGTTTCTGTGTGTTTGTAGATAAATTTCTGATTTACTGTCTGATTAATTTCTCTTAAACCTTCCACTGAAAGACCTTGGAAACAAATCTTTTAAAAAGCATAAAGGTGCATCATCTTGGACTTTGCATCTTTCCTTAGTTGTCTAGTATATTCTATTTCTATGCAGTGGCATAACTTCAAACGTTAATCCTCTGGAGGATGTTTTTATCTTTCTATTGTCTCTGAACTCTGCAGTAGTCATATTGCCCAGATGAGGTAAACCATATTTCAAACAAACAAACAAACAAACAGCAACTAACTGAAATCTTCTGCTAGGCTTTTACTGTCTTTGATCATGGATTATTAATATTCCCCCAAAAATTATTAAACAGAAAAGAAAGAATATAAATATTTTGAAGCATGACTGCGTTGTGCCTTTCCTCTTCCAAAAATAAAACTCAAGCCAAAAAAGTTTTCATCTTGAATGTCTAATACCTAGAATTCACCCAAAGCCAAAAATTAAGACAAATTTTCTTTTTGGTGAAAAGGTTCTTTCTGTTGTTTTCTTTCAGTTTTTTTAAAAATTGGTTTTGTTGAACACAATGGCACTCAGATCTCAGCAATGCAACATGCACAACGGAATGAATGGCATATATCCACAAGTTTAAAATTAAATTTCGTTACTTAGTGTTTTATGCCTTCTCTTGCTTTATGAAATGGATTCATAGTTTTGCATACCCCTTGGATTTATAGCTGAAACATTTATAGCATGTTTAACCCTTAGGTTTTTAATGCTTTGTTGTTGGTTCTAGGGATGTTGTGAAATACTTACTTTATTCAGTCAGGTTGCACTTTTAAGGGGAGGGAACTTCGGAGGAACAGGTAAGAAAGAATGTTGGGCAAGATACCTGTGGCAAGGAACCAACTTGGTAGATTGGAAAGAAGGGACAATAAATTGGCTTTTACTCTCGTGAGAGTTGCAACCCCTCTGACTTGGTGGTGCTGGAAGAGCAGCTCTGAATGGGTAGTGCTACCTTTTCTGTATTGTTTGTTTCTATAACTTTCCTCTGTAGTTGTAAGATGACTGGGTAGGAAGAGAGAGGGAAATAGATTAATATTCCCTTTCTTTTAGCTTGCTTGTCAAGTGTATACTGTATGAACTGATGCTGTAATGGGAGAAGTCACCTGTGAATGATAGCAAGTCTTAGCAGATTAGTTCTCTCTGTTGTTAGTACTAACCAACACCATACATCTGCTTTACTTCTTGGGAGAGATTGTAAGTTGACAGTCCTTTGAAATGTGCACTGTAGGAAGAGTTGTGATAAAGTAGCTATGGAAGACATGAATACGCACAAAACCTCATAGGTTAAATTATGTCTGGTTTGGTCTTTTCAAGGGGAACCATTTTGGTAGCATTGAGAATGACGTAAATTTTGTTCATCTCTTTAGTGCAAAGTATGTGCTTTCCACTTACAAAAAAAGTTTAAAAGTTTTCTTAGTGTATCTCATTATGTGTATTTCGCTTTGCTTCAGAGCACGCTTACCGTGTCTTGCTATTTTTACTACTTTTTTGTTTTCATTTTGATAATCTTCAATGTGACATTTTTTAGCTAGGGTTGCAGTTCTGTTGTCATACTCCAGACAGAATGTTTTTTTCCTTACCAGGGATCATGTGCAAGCAATGCAAGAAAGAAAAGCTCTTCATACTTTACTGGCAAAACGACAGGAAGATCTCCCTCCTAGGAGAATGAAGGATAGCTACTTGGAAGTTATTCTGCCTCTAGGAAGTCAGCCTGAAATAAGAGAAAAGTACCTGAATGTATACAACAGTGTAAGGTAACAAAGCAACCATGGAGGTTGGTATTCATTTACTATGGATGTAGGTATCTAATTGTCAAATCTTTACAGGTTTGGAAGGATACTTGAAGATCTTGACAGTTTAGGAGGTATGTATCTATGCCCTTGTAATGCAGACAAAGTGAGTTTAAGTACTGTTGAGCACTGTTTGGTATGATATAACCTCCGGGAGGGAGTCACATCAATGTGCTATCTCAAAGGGGAAGGAAAAAAAGAAAAGATACTGATGCTGAAAGAGAAGGAAGGGTGATAAAGAACAGACAGAAGCAAAATTGCTCAGCCTCATCTTCTTGCCTCTGCCAATTTTGTAAATGACCACCTGCAAGAATAATACAAATCTACATTGAATGTTAAATCAGAGAAAATTTGCAGTGTGCTATTTCAAATTAAAACATAGGATTTTTCTCTTAAAAAAACCCCCTCAACACAAAACCAATAGATAGTGAGGTGGAAAGATTTTAATCTTCCCTTTGGGGAGAAGAGAGTATAATCTGGAAAGAACAGATTGTACCCATTGAGAACAAATGAAAAGCGCTTGGTACAGATTCTTGGGTTCTGTTTCCAAATTGATACGCGTAAAAGCAACTCAGTTGTTTCATGAGTTAGCTTTCTTAATTTTTTTCTCTTATTCATGATGTTTAAAAGTTCAAAATCTTCGTCTTCTGCTTTGCAGATAAAATAAATGCTAGGTTTTTAATGTAACTTGGAGATACTTTTCTCTTAAAATGTCAGCAGGTGACTTCCTTTATCAAAGTTCTGTAGCTGATTGGGAGCATTTTGCTGGAGGTTTTTGGCAAAGAATACATGCTTATTGAGGGAAAGTTCTGAATGGAACAGATTTTTTTGGCAAGAAAGAAAGACCTTCTGTGGGTCCAGATGGGAAAAACTGAGGAAGGCAGAGAAACAAGTGAATACATGTCACCTATCTATCAAGGATGGACAAAATAGCTAGTTGATTTATATTTCTTCCTGGGATGTGGAAGATAGTGGCTTCAGTACCCGTCCTGAATTATAAAAGGAGACTTGAAACTGTTAGCTACCCTGCATTGGTAGATGAGATGAACCTGGTTTTCATTCTGTGCCTTGTTTATTTGCCCTGGAAGTCTGTGAAGATCTTAGGGTTTTCCTGTTACAGCACAGAATGTTTTTGCCTTGTTTGTAGTCATAGTGGGCTTCAGTCAGTTCCACTGGGGATGTATTGTTTTGGGTTAATCAAGATTCTGTCCCAGTTACACAATATTCAGGATGGTGGTCAGCAGTTTTCACAGGAAAATGTACTGTTTCATCCCCTCCCTCCCTGCCACTATATTCTGTGATCTTGGCAGATGTACTGCATAAAGGTCTGATCGTCTTCTAGTTTTTTGTCTTTGGCAATAGGATTCAGATAAGTCCCATTCAGACTCTTACTAATCATATTGATGGCATGAGTTGATAGGCATAACAGTTTTTAGAATTGTGACTTCAGTAATTTTAGGGAAAAAAATATCTTAGATTACCTGGAAGGACAGAGATCTTCCTTCTTTTTTATCTCATTAAGAACAAACAGATACTTTTGATCATCAAAATCTGTGTTGAGTGAAATTCACATGAGTATTAGACAAAAAAGCTTTGCAGCTTTATATTACTCTAAGGAGTCTGTTTACTTGAATGTCTGTTTACAGAGCTCGTTAATTTAAATAGTGGTTTGGCTCGTAGTGATTACAGTGTGATAAATACCTCTGACTACGCTTTTGTGCCTGTAAGGCACAGTTTATCTAATCTGCACCTCTTTTAAGGAATCAGTATTTGAAAATAAGTCCTCGGAGAGTGTGTTTCCTTGGACAACCTGCATGAAATCAAAGTAGAAGGTAGAAAGGATCTGAGACTGTTGGCTGCAGGGATAGAGAGAAGAGATTACATGGGATTGGAAGTGGAGCGATGGGTTGATTTAAACCGATCAGCTAAATTTCTCTTTGTAGCAAGTAAATACACATATAACTGAGACAGCTGCTGGATCACTGTTTTCTTTGTAGCAATCCTGTGAGTTACATACATGAAAATGTGGAAGTCGTGCACTCCTATGGTATGATACTTTACTTTGCATTTAGCTGGTACTTCTCATGCTTCACAAAGATAGCATTGATCTGCTCCGCTGAAGGTTTTTGTTAAAGAGCTGACTGCATTTTTGGTCTCTCCACAGTTCTTATTTGCTACACTCACACCAAGCAGGAAATGCAGCCAAGGTCTCCCTTATCAATAGTTACAGCTCTGGTGGATAAAATCAGTAAGTGGCAATTTGGTGGCTTCATCTTTTCAATTGTTTTACTATTTCAGCAGCTGCTGCCTTCCCATGGTTGTTACTGAGGATACCTTCTTCCCTCTCCTGTTTAGTTCACTTCATCTTGTTTTGGCTTTGAACTCTGAGCACTGCAGCTTTTGTTGAAGGGAGGAGAGAAGAGGGTTTTGTAGATGCTTTTCAGCATTTCATATTTCCCTTCACTTCAAAGTACAACTTTAATGCTTCCTGCACTTCTGTGTTTGGTTTTATTTTGGCACATGAGTTTCTTAGCTTCGTTATTGAACAGTGTTTTTTCCAGTGGAGTTGGACCTTGCTTGTGTCATATGTTCTGCTGAACACCTCTGTGTGTCTGCCATCAGTCTGCTAGTTGTATGCCTACTTCCTCCCTTCTGTTCTGGCTTTAGAAGTCTGATAAGGCAGAAACTGCAGGCTAGCAGTGTGGTCCCTTGCAACAATTGCCTTTTCTGGGTTGTCTTTGCGTGTGTTGCCACTTGGAGAACACAAAAAGGTCTTAGAGAATCCAGTCTTTCTAATATTAGATGTGAATGATCTGTCTCCAGTAACCTCTAATACTTGTCTTACAGATTTGTGCAAGAAGATTATATATCCAGACTGTGACATCAAATTCACAGGCAATGTTTCTTGGGTTGGGAGGACCTCAATGGAAGTGAAGATGCACATGTTGCAGGTTAGTTCCTGTGACTTCTCTCCATCGTATGACAGGCTTGAGGTGCTTCAGGGGAAATTCTGGATGTTGACATTAGCAGTCTAAAATATATTTTCTAGAATAATTGTTTTTGAAGGGCTTGAGCCAGCCTTAGTGTTTCAAGATGAAGATGACTTCCAGTAGTCTAGGTGCAGCAAGATGCTCTGTTGCTAATCTTTCTTTCAAGACATGCATTTTTCTTAGCCAGCATTTTGTTATTAAACTGCGACACAGTACTCCTACAGAAAAAATAGGTGGCTATGCTCTGCATGTTCTTAAATAAGTTTCTCCCTGCTTTTGAAAAACTTTATTTTCCTTATACCTTTGCATTTTATAGATTTATAAATATATA